TAATCAACACAAACAAAGGTGTTCAAAATTAGCTATGTAAAATAGCGCATAAACAACCATCTTGTTAAATATATTTTACTACAACGGGTGCGTGTTTTACAATTAAATAGTTATACAGTGTATATAACTATTATATAACCTATCCCTGTTGATAATACACGTTTAAATCACCTTGGCGCACTCTCCGCAGCGTATAAACATATTGTGTAATGGTTATTAAGCAAAAAAGATTACGTTAAAACACCTGAATGTATTCGTACCACTGTTCGTAATCAACACAAACAAAGGTGTTCAAAATTAGCTATGTAAAATAGCGCATAAACAACCATCTTGTTAAATATATTTTACTACAACGGGTGCGTGTTTTACAATTAAATAGTTATACAGTGTATATAATTGTGGGCACCGGTAGTGTCAACCCTATTTGTTTAGCACAGTTACCGAGAGATCATTATCGCTGGTCACTAATCGCCTGTGTCTTACCCGCAGGTTGTAGTACTAACACAACTGGCAATCGGTGGCCAATCCTATCGTTCGGCGCTTTTATTGGTGGACAGGCGCCTACCGGCGTGCGCGCGGCCACTGAGCCCATGGTCAATATCACGTGTTGTAAATGTTTAGTAAACATGTTAGACTTGTTAGACTAATATACGTGTAATTTATGATTACGCACGTGGACTCTGTGTTTGTGTTTTGGTGAACGACTACTACTTCTGGTGAAAAACCAATCAATTATATTCGGATAGTGTATTAATTAAATTAATTGTGATGATCGCGCACAACGGAAACATCATTGTAAATTAGATTTGACTTTACTGTACTGTATATTAATATATTATCGAGTTGCTTCTGTCTCAACCATAACGGATTTAATATATGGAAATCAATTGATCGTGGTGTTTTTTAATATTATATCACATGTTCAATAATAATTATTATTCAATTATTGAATAGTGTACAGCTGTGCGTGTTTTTGACCACAAGATTAAGGTGGAAATATATTACAAGTTATTTATCACGTTTAAAGACTAGTTTTGTTTTTAACCCTTTTTGGGATTAAAAGTTTGAATTTTATTTTGAATGTGATTTTTGTGTTTTTGGTTGATTTACAAATTATAACACGATTTTGGGTTTAATAGTGTAAAGCCAATGGATTTAACTTATTTATTGTGTTTAATATCGTTGATTTAGTGCTCGTATTATAACTCCCACTCATTAAAAGCTATTATTGTTAATAATATTAATATTATTATTAATTTTGGTGTTTTTCTGTGATTTGTTTTTTTTTTGTTTGAATACAAAACGTTTTGTTAATTGAATTTGTGTTAATTTTTTTTGATGCAAAAATAGTACACAAAAATTTATTCAATAATTTATTACAAAAATTAATTAGATTTATATTTTTGTGTTACAAAAATACGTACAAAATATAACGAAACAATTATTATTATCATAATTACAAGAGTTTTAAATTTTTGTTTAAGTTTTTACTTTTTTTGTGAATACATTTAATGATTACCCAAAATACACACAAATTGTTATCTAATTTAATGACTGAGATATTCATTTAAATGCGAAAAACAAGAGATTTTTTTAACGATATAACTTTTATTGTGGATATATTTTGGTTATTAATGTGTTTAAAACGAGAATATTTTTGTGAAACAATTTAATTGACGTTTGAATTCCCACTTAAGTGTTGAAAGTCATTGAAAAACTACACACAAAACAGTTTTTTGATAAATACATATAAAAACATAAAAGTTTTTATAAATTCATAAAATAGTTTTACGATTTGTTGTTTGAGTTGTTTTTCATATATAATTAATACGTGAAAAAGCATTTGTTTTTTATAATACACTTAAACATTGCGATCAAAAAACTTAACACAAAAATACTTTACTGATATAATCAGAGAAAACACAAAATAGTTTTTTATGATTTATTTATATACAAAATACTAGAGAGAAAAACTACATTTTATCACATTTGATTTTGATATATTGTACTTTTATTATCATCATTATTATTACTATAACCGATAAGTGATTGTATGAAAACACTTGTTGTCAAAGATATTAATATTTCCAAAGAGATAATAATTATAATTCCCGATAAACTTATAGTGTATTTCATAGACAAATGTGAAAATACCATAATTTCTGAAATATACAGAGACTGTAATATTCACTATAAATATCCCATTATATCCGTTAGTGTGAAGTAATAGTCAAAACACAACCCAACAAAACATGTCCCACACGTCGTCGCCGGGGCTCAAGTCGGTGATCACGCGATTGGACTCATCGCCGGTGCGGCGCCGACGAGTGATGGCGCCGACACCGTTGGTCTACGCGATGGCCGCCGCGAAAGTTGGCCGCCAATCGTCGGCCGAAGACGACTACGAGAAGACGTCGATCGCCGCCTCGTCGGTGATCACCACCAGTACTGTCCACAGCTATCGACAGCCCGTACCGCAGCTGCGGTCGCCCACTAAGTCACACCATTCGTCCGCACATTCCAGCGCTATGTCCAGTCCCGACACCGACCGTACGGTCACTGATCTGAGGCGCCAGATGTCCACCGAATACAAGAAGTTGATGACCAACGCTAGTAATGGCAATCATAATAATACCGGTACTAATAATAATAGCCATAATAATAATTATGGTAATAATAGGGGACCAGCTGCTAGTGATAGTGGGCCGGGCGGTAGGCATAGGGACCCCTCAGCACGCCATCAGTTGCCCAATGGCAGCGCCAGTCGTCGGATTAGTGGCGGCGCCAACAGTGGCAGTAGTATTAGCGGCGGAACCAATAGTACAAGACATCATCGGCGAGACTCCGGCGATGGCAACAAAGCGGGCAATAATTATCACACAATCAATGGTGAGATGACGGCCGCCAGTGATAACACGTCGGTGTCGATGACCAACACAACCAACCCGACGATGTCGTTGTCCTCATCCAACTCGTCGGTGACTATCGGCGCGACGACAGCGACAGCGCAGCCGAAGATCACCGCCGAAGACCAGACATCGCCGGAGAAACAGTGCAATAGATTTGGTTTCTTTGTCGACTCCAGTAAAACAGATGTCGTGCCGTAAGTATTATACATATAGTGTACACCCGTTTATAGTGAACAATAACATTGTGTGTGTGGCGAGTGATTCTGTGTCCATGGTAATTTTTTGTTGTGTGTGTATATTTAGTGATTAGTTTTGCAGTGGTTTTATTGCCACAAGTCTTTAAACCCCGTTATAATGTACAGTAGTTTTGAGACAATTATAACGATATTTTTCTCTACGAAACGACAAATTAATTTAATTTTTAAATTACAGCCAATTATTATAGCATTTATAGCTAATCACTGCAAGACCTCCTGTCTTGACAGGGCATCTGCTGAGAGAGAGAGAGAGAGAGAGAGAGAGAGCACCAGTTGTTTAAAATTCACTATAAGCCTAATTACATAACGATTACCCAAAAACTACCACTAATTACCAAATGATGATTATAATGATTGTCATCAAAATAGTGAACTCAAAAAGCAAGACATCGATCTGATCCGCAAACGCGAGAAGAAATGGATCCAAATGCTGGACAAATGGGACAAATACATGAACAACCGGTGGAAGACAGTGCGCGACCGGTGCCGGAAGGGTATACCGCACTCGATGCGCGGCCAGGCGTGGCTATACCTGTGCGGCGGTCACCACCAGATCCGTCTCCACCCGAACGCCTACCGCGATCTGTGCGCACAGGAGGGCAACGAACAGATCGTGGATGAGATACGCAAAGACATTCACCGCCAGTTTCCCAACCACGAGCTGTTTGCGCAGCCGTTGGGCACCGGGCAGACGGACCTGTTGAACGTGTTGAAGGCGTTCTCCATACTCAAGCCCGACATCGGCTACTGTCAGGTCTGTACCACCGGTGCTGTTAGTGTTTGTTATAACTTATAAATTAATTGTCTGTGTTTTTTGTGGTGTGTTTTTAGGGTCAGGCGCCCATCGCGTCCGTGCTGTTGATGCATATGCCGGCCGAACAGGCCTTCTGGTCACTGGTGGCCATTTGCGACCACTATTTGCCCGGATATTTCTCGCCCGGTCTCGAGGCTATCCAATTGCACGGCGATATGTTGTTCGCCTTTCTCAAGAGGTTTGCCCCCAACCCCCACCGGCTCATGGTATGTATCATGTTGTTTGTTGTTTATGACCATGGTTAATTTGTCGCTTGTTTTTGTTTATGGTGATTTTAGGACAAGCAAAAGATCGAGCCCATTTTATTCATGACCGAGTGGTTCATGTGTGTGTTCGCCCGGACACTGCCCTGGACTTCGGTGCTCAGGGTTTGGGATATGTTTCTCTGCGAAGGTATGCCAACACACATCACCCGTTCCCACTCATCTTCTGTCCGGCCATTTATATTATCGTCTCTCTCTCTCTCTCTCTCTCTCTCTCTCTCTCTCTCTCTCTCTCTCTCTCTCTCTCTCNTCTCTCTCTCTCTCTCTCTCTCTCTCTCTCTCTCTCTCTCTCCCTAAGTTCACTTTTCAATGCACTATATTTAACAAATAGTCTACAATTAGATATCCTGTAATAATTTTATCTCAATCTAATTGTTTGTATCTCCAATACATTTACCACGTTTATATATTGAAGTAACACAAGCACTAATATACCCTGCTTAATCATAGGTATCAAAATAGTGTTCAAATGTGCGATAGTGTTGGTGTCGGTGACCCTCAAGAGCGACACCAAAAAGACGTGTCCCTCGATGTACGAGACGCTGGAAAAGTTGCGACACCTCTCAGTATATCACATGTCGGAGCCATTGATGGTCGAGAGTATACTCCGGTGCGAACTCCACGACCAGGACCTCCAACGCGAGCACAACATACAGGAGAAGAAGCGGCGCCAGAAGGCCGTCCAGAAGGCCTCGACATCGCCCAAGTCGGCGATGGCTAAGACTAATGGCAAACGAAAATAATGGGATTAACTATTACTTCTTGTGAACACTGGGATCAACTGTTTGTGATGATTGTTGACCATCTCTTTGATAGACATTTTGATTTTTGAGATATTTTATTGATTGTGTTTTTTATTGATATGTTTTATTTCATTCATTCATATTCTTCTTGTCATCTATTTATCTAAACATTTCTTACTCTCGAAGAATGAAAACACAAATTATTTTATAATTGTTTTTTGGTTTTTCTCATAAAGTTATTGAGTTTTACTTTTTCTCTCTCTCTCTCTCTCTTCGATGATAATCAAAATTGTTGTCCAATTCATCGCATTATTTGATTTTTATTGATAGATATGTTTATTAATATTATTATTAATATTATTGATATTAATTATTATTATTACTGTATATGACATAACAGTTATGAACAAATAAAATACATATATTATTATTATTATATTAATTAATACTGTACAAACATTTAATTAATTTTTATGATTGCCATTCATTGCTATCTTACCTGACAAGAAATTGCTTTAAATAGTATTTAATTTAATCTGATTTTTATAAAATAAGTACAAACACATGGTCATACTTTGGACTAGATACTTATTCTTTGAATTACCCAAGTTGTGATATCGCTTTAAATTAATAATATATTTAAACATTGGTGCATTAAAAAAGATTTTATTATAAAATATTTCAAATTAATGACATTAGATATTCAATTAATAAATTATTTGTACCGGTATAAATGAAATAATAAATATTTTTAAAAATTCAAAAGTGTTTACAAAATAATGCATTTAAAACAATGAAATCCAATCAATCAATAGGCATATCATTACCGGATATAATCGCCAATTGTTTATCCACTAATATTTGGTGCAAAAATAGCAAATCGTTTTCATTAATTGACTTAATCTTATCGTAATATCTAATAAAAACCCGATATCTGTCGGACTGGCGGCCAATAAAAGCGCATTCAATTGGTCCGCAATAGTTATGCTCTTCGAGTCGTTTGACAAAATTCTTCGCCCATTGAGACCAGTGTTGATCTGATTTACCGATCGGTCGGATACCAGTCAACTGGACTTTGAGCGCCTGTGCCGGCAGTTGGGCGTACTTTTGCAACAATAGCCGCAAGTGTTTAGCGTTTGCTTCAATTACATCGCCTATGAATTTAGAGAATATTAATGTAAAATAAATAAATGTTAACAAAATGCATGAATGTATTAAAATTAATACCGATATCAACCAAAAGTAGTCGACAATTATTGTCTCTATCGATGGATAATATGATACTTCTGTGCCATTCGTGGCATATTTTATGGTAACGGACGGCACAGAGCAGGCCATCAAACAATAGCAGACTCGGCACCCGATACTTGTCCTCATTGTCCACATTATCGTAGGATCTCATGTCAATCCTCAGCCGATGGTAAGCCAAGTGGTGGTCGTCGTCGCAGATGTGGACAAACATCTCGTGAGGACTAATCGCATACATTAGTCTCATTTCACAAAAGCAAAGTTCATTGAGAATATTGCCTGAAAAATGGGGTAAAAGTTAATAAAATAATCAAATATTAATGACTAGTGTTTGAAACAATACCGGAAAGTATTTCGGGCAAAGCGTTGACCAGATTAGCGGGTAATTGAAATTTTGGCAATTGGTGTCCGCAAGCAATCGCGTCGTCGGGAATGTCGGCCAATATATTCATCATATCATAGCGTTTGGCGACTTTAACGCCAGACAACCAGTAATAGTAGCGCCGTTTGTCGACCGCCAGTCGACGCCAACCATCGCTGCCATCGATCACTTCCAGAGGATAATTGTCACAAATGAGGCATTGAATGAACGGTTCAATCGCATCAAAACCCTCTGACATCAGATCCAATGGATATAAAAATTCTTTGTGAAAGTAATATAGGATTGAATGCAATTCAATGCCTTTATTCGGGTATTTATGGCATATTCTGACTATTCGTGCGCCCAATAGTGGACTCACTGTCCGATTGGCACCGGAATCACTCACATTCATACCTAGATTGATGTCAGTGTTAAATATATTTAATACAAGTTAATAGTGTTTAAAAGTATTGTTTTTTAATAACAATTGTAAGTGCAATAAATAATTAATTTGAATACAAGACATCATTGTCTTAATAAGTTGGTTATGGTTATTTCTCAACAAATCAATATGAAAATTATTTTATTACATAAGATTAAAGTCAGATAAATACTGTTTCATCCCATAAAATGCACTTTAAATTTATAAATTAACTTTTATAAAAATTAATGATAACTAAAATTCTAGATTTATTAATGCAAGTAATAATAATAACGTGAAACACGTGCTAAATATTGCGTGTGTGCTAAACACATGTAATAAGCTAAACATGTTAATTATAATGTATAACTTAACCAATGTTAGCTATTGTGTGCCATTATGGTAATAGTTAGGCAATTATTAAATCTTACAGCATTTGTAACATTAATAATAGTTAAATATTAGCACAAATAATTAATAGTGAATTATATTTACCTTTTTGTAAAGTTTGTTATAAAATGGCAATAAATGTGCTAAACATGTCTTTTAGAGACTTTTCCAATCATTTGATGTGTTTTTAGCACTTTTTGTATTGCATTTCATTGAATGAAAAGTTTGGACGACTTTTGTACCATAAATAGCACTTTTCCTCTCACTTCACATTCAATACAAACAATCGTCGCTATAATTACATGACTGTCTAATTAATACTGTCATTGTAACATGTTGTATAATGTGTTCATATATTTGCTTTTGGTATTTATTTAATAGAAATTTAGCAAAATTTAGTTTTAGTTAATAATCTATGGTAATATTGTTAATTAATATAACAATTGTAACGATGATATACTGTACTAACCATGACTATCTCTATTTATTATCTAGTATATACCGCGAGTTTTAAACTTGCTAACACTGTTAATCCACCCTACAGTTTAGTAAGCTAGCTATGTGCTTTATAGTTTGTGGATTTAATTGGAAATTTAATTTGAATTTCATAAAATAGTATTAATTAAAGTTATGTCCAAATTATATATTTTATTGTTTTAAATATAATTTTTAATTATCGTTTAATTTAATTACAAAATCTATATTTACAGCCAATTTTATGCGAGATATAATTGTACATGAATTTGGTTTTAATAATTAATATAAATCTGTTTATATACCAAAAATCTATGGCTTTTAACTATAATTTACATAAAATAATTTAATATAACAATTATTGTTTTGATTTTATCATAAATTACTAAATCATAAATTACTATAATATGATTACTCTATCGGGGGTTGATTTTCAATACATTATACAATATTACGAACATTTTATCATATATTTTATAAATACATTAAGTTCAACGATATATTTTAGTAGTGATTTATAAAATAACTAAAATCTCTGGCATTTTTAATACACACATAAAAATAAGTTACTTTAAAATAATTGTAAAAATATATTCACAAAAAAATAATTGCAAATTTATATTTAAATTACAGTTAATAATAATTTTTCACATATAATACACAATCAGATATTTAATTGTTTTTAAAACTATAACACTTTGAATTGGGATTTTTGCACATGTTTTGTAAACACCATATCGTATGAACACAGGGTGTATATGGGATGAAGGGCTCGGATAAGGGAATAGGGATGTAGGGGTCAGGCAATACCCGTCAACACACAGGTCAGGAGCCACTCTCTGCTAATCATACAGAGTATGTGCCGACTGTGTGCAGGGGTTTATTGTGGGGTCGACTGGCAATGGTGGAGGAGGGGGAAGGGGTGCCACCGGACAGGGGTGTGTCGGCCGTGGATTTGTTTTGATGCGACGATTTGAGTGACGAATAAGCGGTGCCGATGTTGCCGTACGCCCGGGCCATACCGGACGAGTCGTTCAACTGCTTGGATATGGTCAGGTGCGACCAGTGGAGCTTCAGGGCGCCGTCAAAGTCACCTAGATGGAGAAATTAATATTAATACATTGTTAAGTACATAATATGTATGGCAAATGTATAGCACGGGTACCTAATAGCTGGTAGACGAGTCCCAGGTTAGAGCAGGCCTGACCCTCGATGAAGCGATTCTTAGTGACCAAACCGATGTTGAGTTGCCTCTCGTGCCAGCGTTTGGCCTGCAAGAGGTCGCCCATACAGCGCGACGCGTGACCCAAACCCGCGTAAGCCTTGCTCTCAATCATACGGTCGCCGATCTCTTGCGATATGCGGAGCACCTGTTCGTGGAAATGGATGGCCTGTTCGTAGTTACGCCGGTAGTGATGAGCCGACCCTATCGTATGTGATGGAGAGAGACAATGAGTGTGAGTGAGTGAGTGAGTGAGTGAGAGAGAGAGAGAGA